GGTCTTTTAACTCCTGCAGACTCTAAAGCAGGCTTATATCTGAGCTCAGGTGGGAGGGGATGGTGGAGGCCTGTTTCTTTGTGCCTTAAGTGTGCAGATAGATAGACTCAGAAGCCGCTTGGGGTCCTAGAGAAAGGAAGGAAGTAGGATTTCGTGCTGCCACAGCCGAGCCCCGCATACGGTATGCTGAGTAGGGGCGGCCGGAAGCACACAGGACTGCACATGACTGGGTCGGTTCCCGAGAAATGTGACGTTTGAGCAGAGCCTCAGACAGGGTGTAGATCAGCAGCTGCTTAGGGCTGGGAATTGCAGGGGTAGCGGGGAGTGGGGAGGGCCTGTGAATGGGGACAGGTTTTATTTCCGGGGTGTTCTAAAACTCGATTGCGGTGTTGGCCGTACGGATCTGTGAATGTACTCAAAACCACTACGTTGTGCCCTTAGCTGGGTGAATTTGAAAGTATGTGAATTGTGTCTCCGTCAGTCTGTGTAGAAAGCGGAGGTGCCTTTGACAGTTTTCATGGGAGGACAAGTTGCACATCCCTTCTCTGAAATGCATAGGACCAGATGAATTTCAAATTTCAGAGTGTTTTTAATTTTAGAATATCTTCATACACATAATGAGATACTGTGAGGGTGGATCCTAAGTCCAAACGTGAAATTAATATGTTTCAAATGCCTCATATACATGGACTGAAGGTAACTTTATACAATATTTTCACGTGCCTTTTTTTCTTTATGGTGGTGATACTGGGGATCAAACCCAGGGCCTTCTCAGTGAGCTACATCCCCATCCCTTTTTTTATTCTTTTGTTTTGAGACAGAGTCTTGCTAAGTGATCCTCCTGCCTCAGCCTCCCAGAGAGGTGGGATTACAGGAGGGCGCCACCCCTCCTACCTGTGTGCCTGCACTGTGGCTGGGACCTGTCACAAGAGGTCAGGTGTGGAAGCTTCTGCTTGTAGAAACATGTTTCAGATTCTGAGCATTTTTGAATTTTGGCTTTTTGGATTGTGGATCAGCAGTGTGTAGAAGCACCTGGAAATACCCGCTGATGGTTTGATGGCAGCAGTTCAGTCCACCGCCCCAGGGCCAGGCAGGTTTACAGGCCTCCAGGGTGCCACAGCAGAGTTTCCAGCTTTGCTTTGCTTCCGGAGGGCGGGAGTGGCCTGGTGGCAGGTGGTGCTGGCTGTGGCCAGCAGGTGCTTTAACCTGTGCCCTCCAAGACGATGGCTGGTAGCTCCCTGGTGCCGGGACAGCTGGCTCCGGAAGGTCCCCAGAGAGGTGTCCTTGCGTCCGGGCCCACACTGTTCCCTGCGGAAGTTGGGTGACCCTCTGCCCCGTTCCCGTGGAGCCGCGGTTCCCAGGGGTGCTCTGGTGGAAGAGGGCTGTGGGAAAACAAGTACAGGCTCCTCAGGGATGCGTTTCCAAGTGTCATTCGCTGCTGGGGAGCATCCGAGGGAGCCACAGCTCTAAGTCTTCTCTCTGGTCCTCGGTAGTGCCCTTCCCGTTCTGGGGAGTGCTGGGGGGAGGGGAGCTGCAGCAGGCGCTGCCTGAGGTTCTTGGAGGGATGTGGTGGTGCGCGTGGTCTTCTCGCGTGGTCTCCTGTTTCTGAGATTCAGGGAACAAGTACTGCCAAGGAAATGAGCTTTCTCGAATAAAACTAGAGGGCTGGGTGTAGCTCAGGGGTAGACCCTGCCCATCACGCCAGAGCCCTGGGCTCTATTCCTCACACCACCTACCAAAAGTAATAATAAAAATGAGAGAATAAAAGGGCAACTTTTATGACCAAATATTAAAATATGCCAACAAGCAGTTGTATTTAATACTGGCCGACATAAACGGAACAAAGGAAAACAGTTCAGGGTCCAAACCTGGACTTCCCCCTCTGTAATGTACTACATATGTAAATTTAAAATATTTATCAAATAATAACGCTTTTAAAGAATCACCATACATCAACAAGGGGAAAAGATTATTCAGTAACTGTGAGCATGGGATCTTGTCTTTCTTTGAGAAGTGATTTTTTTTTTTTTTTTGAGGTGGGGTCTCACCGTGTAGTTCAGGCTGGTCCGGAACTCACAGTGATCTTCCTGCCTCAGCCTCCTGAGTGCTGGGATTACAAGTGTAATGTGTTTTTTTTAAATTCCAAAGCTGTAGATTTCTGGAACATTTCAGGCTCCCTATTTTCATTGGCTGGGGAGCCTAGCTGTAGATTTAGCCGTTGTAAAGCATGAGTGCTCTTTATCCTTGGACACATCCTGATGCACACGCAAACACACGTGTTCAGTAGCTACACACACACACACCTGCAGGAGGCTTTGTTCACTTCATGGTCCACTGTTGTTTTCCTTCTTTGTGGTCATCTTTTAGTTCGCTTTTTAAAATCAGATTTTATAGTTGAAGTCTCTTTTTAATTAGTTCAAAAACATTTTGGGGAAGAGGCAGCCTATAAATGAGCAATACAGTATATGGGCAAAAGACGTAGAGAAAATATGGCCGACTTGAGTAGCTGGAGCGTTGGGAGGGTGGTATTCATTGGATTGGATGCGATACGAATTTTCTCTAAAGTTTTCGATAGTTTTGTGATTTTCTACTTAAAGCAAAATTACACCGTTCAGAGAAATCGTTTTTTAAGAAGGTGGTTTTCTCCCGTGCCCCACGCCATGCAGCAGAACTGAATTATGCCCCGCGGCCCGCACTCGCCCTGGGTCTGCACGCAGCCCAGGGTGTCGGTGTCGCAGCCAGTGCCGTGCATGGTACGGCGCATATTTAGGGGCCCTGGCTCAGGCCTCAGCACCCAGAAGCGCCCCCTGCCCCCCAAACCACAAAACAAACCCGGGAGGGTGCGTGCGCAGGCCCTGTGCAGACACGAGGCTGTGTACAGAAGGGATTTAGCCCCTGGGGAGTCCGCAGTCCTAGGGCAGCCGCCTGCGCTGGCATCTGGGAACCAGGGCCTCTCTGTGCTTGAGGATGCCCAGAGCGCTCTTGGTTTTCCGCCCGATCTTGCCCAGTGGAACGTGCTTTCGCATAGGTAGGAAAGTTACTGAGCTCTTCCGGGATCTGGACATCCAGTCCCTGCTCTGAGGGGTGGGAGCCAGAGGGCTGCGGACGGTGGACAGCCCCTGCAGGACCCAGGTTCCAGAAGGCCGCGGCTTCAGGGATGGCGGTTGGCCAGAGGGTGAGGAGGAAGCAGGACGTGGCCAGGGACCGTCCAAAATGATGGCTACAAGGTGGTGTTTTGTGGTTTTGGGGGAGCCTGGAGGTACAATTTCAAAAAAAATTGGAATTGCCTTGCCAATGTCTACGTTAGCATTTTACCAACGGGACAGCTTGTGTTAAAAGAGTCCATCATTTTTAGTAGTCATTAGATGATGTTGTCATGTTACAGATTCCAGACATGTATATGCTGGTTTAATTACATGAACAAATGCTTATGTTTTATACTCTTTATTTATAAATACTTACAGCAGAGCACTGTCAAAAGAAAATTTCACTTAGATGGCCATATTTAAAATTTTTTAAAAAAACACTTAATTTTTACATAGCAATTGCACATTCTTACAGTGACACTCGGTATGTGTGTGCAATCTGTAATGCCTCACCAGGGTGGCTGCTGTATCAAATGCTGCATTTCTGATGTAGTCAAAGCCAAGTTCAGCTGATCACAGTTGAGCGATGTCTGCAAAATTTGATCCTTTTCAGAAATCTGAGCTCACTAGCATTGCCTACCATGGCGTTTTCTGATCTCAGAACTGCCTACCTGACAGTAGAAAATCTAACATTTTATCGAGAAGAATGGCTCATTGTTTTAAGTAATGAGAACCCTGGGTTTTAAATTTTATTATTGCACATGTTTGATTTAACCTTGGCAAACCATGTCAGTTTGTATGTTAGTGCTTCCCATGAAGAAGATGGGTGACAGTATTCCAGTAAACTGCCTGTCATCGTAGTAGCTGGGCAAGAGCTCTTCAAAACCTAGGAGAGATACTAATAGCACATGCAAAGGCCCTGTGGCTAGATCTTGTAGATCAGCCTGTAGCAGGCTGTTCTTGCAGCAACTGAAAGACAGTGGTGTAGCTGGATAGCAAAGTACAAGTTAGCAGGCTGGGGATTTAGCTCAGTGGCTCCATTGCCTGCCTCGAAAGCCTAAGGTCCCCAGTTCAATATCCGGTACCAAAAAGAAAAAAAAAAAATTAGAGACGGCCAGGGTCATGTTGTAGAGGTAGACCAGGGCCAAGCTGGAACTTTAATCTTCATGTGGGAAGCCATTGGAGGATTTAAGTCAGTTGACAGACATGCTGTCTTGTTTAGGCCAGATAACGATCCTACGTGCAGGAATTTGTGTCCCCAGTTAACCAGGGCAGTGGAGACTGAGTAGTCAGTTTAAGGGCTTCCTGCAGGTGAATAGGGGAGCTGAGGCATCGCAGTCCCATCTTGTCCGATCAGCCTACCTCAGTAATAACACAGCAGCGGCTACGGTCTCAGCGGGCTTTGAACTCTTGAGGTGAAAGATTCCCCTTCAGTTACAGAGTGGTATTATGCTGGGCAACTTGAGCGGCTGGAGAGGGTGGGGACGCCCAGGCTTGGAGAGGCCCAGTGTGCCTGGCCGCGGTCCAGCCTCGGGCCTGGCTGCCCGCTGTGGCGGCTCACTGCACTGTCAGCCCCACGCAGAGTCTGGCTGCTCCCTGCAGGCATCTGACGCTGCCATTGTCCGTAAGGACTCCCTGTCCCCAAGTGTGCCCCGGGGATTTGAGCTGGGAAATCAGATCGGCCGTGCAGGCCTGGTTTCACCAGAGCTTTGACCCAGGGCCAAGTTTCTGCCTTCTGTTTCTGGGTTCTCGCAGCTTAAGTGCATTCTTAGGACACTGACTGGGGAGACTGCTGTCTCCTGACCTCCTCGGGGAACCCAAGAAGCCCATCTTCGGAGGTGGAGGACGGGGGGACACTGCCGGCCGTGGCCTGTGGGTTTCTTGTCCCTGATGACGGATGTCTGTTCCTTCCAGTTGACCACGTTGTCCCAGAGCCTGGGACGAGCCTGCTAGCCGCCTTCGACCAGTGGAGGGAGTGGGCCGACAGCAGGTCCTGCTGCGACTACTCACTGCACGTGGACATCACCGAGTGGCACAAGGGCATCCAGGAGGAGATGGAGGCTCTGGTGAAAGACCACGGTAGGTCCTGCAGACTGGGCCCTGCTCCTGTTTCTGTCCATAAGTGGGCACCACTCTGGGAAGCATGGCTTGCCCGGAGCTGGCCAGGACCGAGGGCTTCGGGCTGAAGCCCGGGCCGACCAGGTACAGTCACATCACCTTCATGGAGAGCAGACCTGGCTTCTGCGCTGATTCCTTTCCCAGCCGACCCGTGCGAGGTGCCTGGGCTGGGAGCTGAGCGCCATGGAGCCTCCTAAGGAGGACAAGCACTGCTGGGAGTCGCCTGAGGCGGGAGGGCTGGGGCAGCCTCTTCCTGCAAACCCACATGCCCCGGATGGAAGCGAGGGTGAGGAGACACTTTGGAGACCATCTCAGGGTCTGTGTGACTGAGAAATCTCCAGGGATTGAAAGGATCCCCAGGGAGGCTGGCACAGCCTTTTCTACTGCAGGGGGCCTCTAGGACTCTGGTCAGCTCGCACCTTGGGGTGCAGGTGGTGGAGCAAAGCATGTGTTCTTTGTGGGTCTCCCAGAGATTGGCTGTGGGGGGCTCCCCAGGGTCATTCACTTGTGACCTCACTGAATCTTGGCCTTCAAGGAAGCACCTATTGACTTAGGGCTCTGAGTCTCCAGGCTCATTTGCCGTGAGTAAAATGATAGGAGGGCCAGCACTCAGGCTGAGGCAGGAGGATCACTATGAATTCAAGGCCAGCTTGGGCTCCGTAGAGTTCAGGGCTAGCTTGGAATACAAAGTGAAACACTGTCTTAGAAAAACAGAAACCTAAAAACAAAACAAATAAGCAAACAGTCCTCCCATGGATACAGATTTATGTAGCTAGGGTGGGTGTCCGTCATTGGCATACAGAAAGCGCGAGAATGAGAGGTTTCAGTCTCAGGTTGGCTTCTTTGCCCTTCCACAGATTAGCTGTGTGACCTTGAGCCCACCACTAAAATTTTATGGGTCTCAAGTTTTAAGAAAAAAATTCCTTCAATTAGGATGTTGAACTCCTAAGATGTCTCCTAAGAGTCTTGCTAGCATGAAGCTTTACAAACAAGAAAATAGGCAACATTTTGACCTCTCTTTGGTGGATACGCACACTCCATTGGATTTAACTTTTCAGTACTTAGAATGAATCTTCTCCGGTTTAGGCTGGAGGTTACCATGGCAACTGTTGCCTGGCAAGGAGAGCAGGGCCAGGATGTCCGGTGGCATTTGACTCAGGCAGCTTCTAGGGCCCCCCTGAGCCTGTGAGGTTGTCAGGACGATTGTTTAAAATTGTGATGGATGTGGGGTGTGGATGTTTGGTCTGGTGCCTTGGGAGGCAACAACTCTGAGAGGCCAGGCTGAGCGCTGTGACACATCTGCTTGTTGAAGTCATGGGCCTTATTAAAAAAAAAGAAAAAAAGAAAATGGTTCTGAAAATATCAGCACAAGGACAAAGAAATAATATTTATTACTGATCTCCACATACCTTTCTAGTTCACTTTTTTAATCATCATAACAGACGTGTTTTGAGGGCAGCCTTTTTATTTTTCAAATAGTTGTGAAATACGCATCGCGCAGCACAGATCACTTTTATCCATTGTGAGGGGCGCAGTTCAGTGCAGTGTTGATCGCCTCTGTCTTCCTCTGTCCATACTTTTCAGTACCCTTGAAACTGATTTTCCTCCCCCTTCACCCCCAGCCCCAGACACCCCTCTCTGCCTTTCTGTCTTTGCAAGTGGATTCCTCCAGCGTGTGTCTTTTGTGAGTCTTGGCTTGTGTCACTGGCCCAAGGTCCACCTGTGTCACCCGAGTTGGATGCATCACGGTTTCCTTTAAAGGTGCATCCCCAGTGTGTGTGTCTCTGTGTCTAGCAGTGGGTGCTTGAGTTGCTTCCACATTTTAGATTTTGTGAGGAATGCTGCTGTGAACGTAGGTGGAGGAATATCGTGGCTTTTAACTTTGATATTATTTGAAGCTTATAGAAAAGTTGTAAGAATAGTAAAAGTCATTCTCATGAGCTCCCTTCTCATATTTCCTGGTCGCTTCTGGTTCACCCCATTTCCTGTATCATTCTCTGTCTCCATCTGTCTTTCTGTCTGTCTTCTCCATTTCTTCAGCAAAGGCTCACACACACAGACACACACACACGCACACACACACACACACACACACACACGAATGTACTTTCTTACCGCCTCCCTCCCGGATGATTTGGTTTGGGTTTAGCTATTAAAAGCCATGTCTCCCTCTCTCTTCTGTCTGTCCCTTAGGGGTAAATTCCTTCCTCGTGTACATGGCTTTCAAAGAACGCTTCCAGCTCACGGATTCCCAGGTAAGAGATCCAGCTGGCTGTGTGAACGGGCTCACCGCCTCTTGTCAGGGAGAGCAGTTGCCACCAGATGTGTGTCCTCAGGTGCATGAGACACAGCTTCTGGATTCAGACAGCTGCAGTCAGCCTTTTGGGAGAGTGTGCACGGAGGGCCTGTGCCCCAGCGTGTGCTGGATGTGCCCCTGGGAACTTTTAGCTGGGGGACACAGCGCCCTCGGCCTCTTCGTTGAACCTCGTGTTGACCCCAGCCTCTCACCCTCCGCTGTGCCCTTTGCTGTGTTCCTGCTGTGAAGGGCGGAGGGGGCTTCCTCTGTTGGAAGTGACCAGGAACTCTGCCCCGGGGCCTGCCTACCCCTAAGGGAAGCAGCCGAGGGGCACCATTTCTCATCCCAGAAATGGAGCCGACAGACAGAGTCCCCCGTCTCTGATCCTGCCTCCTCTGTCTCAGATATATGAAGTCCTGAGTGTGATCCGGGATATTGGTGCCATAGCCCAAGTCCACGCGGAAAACGGCGACATCATTGCAGAGGTAGGGGCTTCCCTCTTTGTCCTTCCTATATCCCTGGAGGACAGGACATAGCCTTGTGGAAGCTGGATGACTTCAGTAAGCTGATTGCTCCCCTGGGAAACCAGAGAGCCCGGTGTCCTGTGCTGGGCACGGCTGCACACGGGCACTAGTGGGGCACACGGCAATTCCTGTTCTGTTCATTGTGCACACCCAGGCCTGCATGCTGTGGCCCAAGGCTAGGATGCTGTGGTTTGCAGTGTCCCAGGGACAGCCTGGTGGTTTGGGGAGGTTCGACCCAACCTCCTCAGGTGGGGCTGGGGTGGTAACCCCGACTCTCAGGGAGGCCTGGGGGTCCTGCCAATGCTTGGGTAGCTCTGTGCCCAGGTCTCCAGCCCTCAGAGCCTCCTGAAGTCTGGCTCCCCTGACCGCCTGGCCATCATTGTATGTTTCAGGAGCAGCAGCGGATCTTGGATCTGGGCATCACGGGCCCTGAGGGACATGTGCTGAGCCGGCCGGAGGAGGTGAGCACCGTACCTGGGTGCAGGGCCAATGGGCGAAGGACTCATGTCCGCTGGGCACTGTGCCAAGGACGCAGAACCCACTTTGTGTCTCTTGAGAATGGGGCTTCTTTGATGCAGACTGGGTCTCCCCGGTGTGTGTGTGTGTGTGTGTGTGTGTCAGGCAAAGCCTGACTGAGCCTGGGGGCAGCACGGGGGGCCATGACTGCTGCGCTCTCCGTCTGGCTAGGAAGACACACAGTTCTTGAGTGGCATCATTGAGTAGCATCCTGCAGTCTGGGTTTTGGGGCCAAACCCCCCCAAACATTCTACCGGGGACCAGAAAACTCTTCTACATCCCTCAGATACATGGGGGGAGTTGTTCCTTTTCCCACAACAAGCCTTCACAGAGCACAACACAATCCCCAGGGTTGGGTGGACGGAATCTTTCAGAATTGCAGAAGTCAGCACAGGGCTCTGGCTAGCACCGGCTGACAACGCTCTGATGGTGGGGGTGAAAGTCAGAGGGCGTGGGGCAGTGTGTCTCAGCCGACATCAGGCCTCAGCCCGAGGTTGTAGCTTCAAAATACTTTGCAGAAGTTGCTCCTTAGTGAGGGGCTTTGGATGGGAGAGCTGACTGCGGAGCAGCCTGGCAGCTCTGGGCGAGGGTGGAGGAGGGTGTCCTGGGAGTGCTTGGTCCTCTTCCTTTGCTGGAAAGAGGCGACAGAAGAGGGGGCGATGTGGAGGGCAGATCCGCAGGGCCTGGGCTGATGGGGGCATAGCGTTAGCTTTGTCCTTTCAGAAAGAGCTGGCAGGAGGTGAAGGAGCAGTGAAATCTCAGAGCTTTAGAGCTTTCTGCAGAGCCAAACACACAAGCAGGAAGTAAGCTGGCCTGGCCTTCACGGAAAGGAGAGAGCTGTCGGGGAGGCGTTGTTCTGCTTGCCCCTTTGACCAGAAAAATCAAAACCGTTTGTACACAGCTCAGCCCCGGAGGCCTCCCTTGGAGCAGTCATCTCTGAGGGAATTGCAGAGGCCCTGTGGCTCACCATGTGGGCTCCTTCATGGGGAATGCGGTTCTTGGCTGGTCAGGAGTGGGTGCCTACTCTGTGCCGATCACTGATGTGGGCCTTTTATGAATCCTTTCCGCTCTGGGCAGCCTGGGAGGTGAGTAGTAGGGGATGTGGGCTTTAAGGGCAGACAGGGAGATTCCACTTCTGTCCCTAGGTTCCAGTTGCACCTTCCCAGCTCCTGGTAATCATTTTCCATTTTGCCCAGAGAGTTCTGTTGTGTGTTAAGCCCTGCGTGGGTGATACAGAGAACAAAATATGGAACCACTCTGAGTGGACTTGAATGTCACAGCCCAGAGAGGGAGGAGCCGGCAGTGCATAGGGGTAGCAGCTAATAACACACACAGTCTGACTTCCAGGAGCTTTGCAGAACGTTCCAGAGCTTTCCATAACCAGCATACTGATGGCCAACTTGTACTGAAGCTTTGCAAAACACCCTCCTGCCGCTGTATGTTTTCCGTCCCAGCCACTGTGTGAGACCATCTGGTAGGGCCTCTTCTGGGTTTTAGCCAAGAAGACGGACCAAGAGTGCAGGGTTCCGGAAGTCACCCACCCGAGAGGGATAAGTGGCGATGGGGCAGTGCCCTGTGGGGATGGCACGAGGAGAGAAGTCGCTGTGGAGAGGACTCACAGGGAGCTGGGGAGAAGGGCGCAGCAGGAAGTAGATATATAGGACAGAACGGGTGGCCTGGGAGCAAAGATCAGTGTGAGAGCCTGTGTCTGAGACGCAGGGACTCGGATGTGGTAATGGAGGATCCTTCCCTGAGCGGGAACTTCCCAGTGGGGCCTCACAGGATGAGGTGACTGCGATGGGCTGGGAGCCGAGGGCATGGGCTGTTGAGGACCTGAGTGCACTGACGCTGCTGTGTGTCACTGAATAGGTTATTTCCCTCTCTGGGCTTTCTGTTGCTTCATCTGGAACATCCGAAGGTGGACTTGGTGGCCTCCCAAATTTCTTATTTGATTTCTAAAGTCTCACACTATTTTTGTAATATTTTATTTTATTTTCGGTTACTTGAGACAAGTATTACTGTGTCAGAGATGTACACGTGATCATGGGTAAAATGTTCTGGGTGGGACGTGGAGAGTTGGGGTTTAAGTGACCTCCTCTTCCACGAGCTGATGTGTTAGCTGGCCGGGGCAGGATGGGGTTTGAACTCCATCCCCAGCGGTGAGCAGATAGCCAGAGCCCGGCTCTTCTCCCAAGGCCAGTCCCACAGGGGGAGCAGCTGCCAATGAGAGGCTTGGAGTTCGTGGTCCCCTTAATTAGAACACTGTGACTTCCAGTCCGCGCGGCACAGATCCAGGGCCTGCGTCTTGCTCCTTCTGAGCTACGAATGGTGGTGCCCCTTTCACTGTCACCTTGGGGACTCCTGAGGCTGCAGTGCTGCTTGGTGAGGAGAGCAGCGGGAGGCAGGGCCGGGAGGGTGGGTCCATAGCTATCCCAGGAATTAAAAACATTTGGGTGTCCCAGGAGTGCTTCCAGGAGCCATTGCCTTGCCCGTGCATTCCTGACACCTCCCGGGTGGCCGGCTGAGCGGCTCCGTGGGAGTGAGGCTGTCTCAGATCCCCCGAGAAGCTGACCTGGGAGGCCATTGCTGACCTGAGCCCTGCCCGCCGGTCCTGGAGACAGCGCAGCAAAGCTGCTAGGCAGGAGCCATGCTGTTCTGCTGAAGCCCTGGCCAGAAGTGCAGGAAATAAAGGGAAGGCCTGTACAGTGCCTGTGCAGAAATCCCCTTGAGCACCTGCTGTTTAGAGGCACTGTGGCCTCCCCTCTGCTCTCCTCCAAGAATTCATACCACAGCGTTTTGCCTAGATTGGGTGAAGACAGATATCCAGAAATCTGGTGACTTCCCTGTAAAACAACTCCAGCCAGGGTGTCTTCCCTGAGGGGCTGTTCAGCAGCCATCACAGGCCGTACCCAGGGTTGTACCAGGCTGTGACTTACGGGGCCTGTGAGTGTACAGATGCTGCCGCCTGCCTGCTGCCCCAGCCCCATGAGCGCACATTTTTTTGTGGGCAGTGCTGGCCTCCTCCATGAGCCGCCAGCAGTTAGTCTGGGAAGGTTTTGACTCAAGAGCAGAGAAGCAGAACAAATGGCCCCATTGAGATCAGCCAGTGTCTGGGTGCGGGGGTTCTCGAAAACCAGCAAGGGCTGTAACCCCGGAGCCTCATTCTGGCTGCCACCCGCACGACTAGACACTGGTCCTGGGCTTGGGGCGGGGCCTGAGAATCTGCATTTGTGACAGGCCCGGGCTGATGAGCTCGCTTTGAGAAAGCTCCAGAGGGAAGCACCGCATCATTGCAGCCACCCGGTATCGAGGGACCCTGGTGCCACGTGGGGACCCTGCAGCGTCGTGGGTGGAGGATCCAAGTTCTCATGCTCAGTTCTCCCTCAGGTCGAGGCGGAAGCCGTGAATCGGTCCATCACCATCGCCAACCAGACCAACTGCCCGCTCTATGTCACTAAGGTGATGAGCAAGAGCGCCGCCGAAGTCATCGCCCAGGCCCGGAAGAAGGGTGAGTCTGCGGGCAGGTGTGGAGAGAGGGAGGGCTCCTTTCCGCCTGTGCCAGGCGGGCCGCTTGCATCACCTTCCGGCCTTTACCTAATTACAGCCCAGCGGGGTGGGGAGCTCCAGTTTCCTCCCTTTGTCCCACAGCTGCGCCCTGTCTACGTCTATTTAAAGCAGAAGCACAGCCAAGGCTGGTGCCCCCCGTAGAAAGGTTGGATTTAATTTGTGTGATGTAATTAAGCCCAGCATACATGCGGGTTCCGTCAGTTTCCAGCGGCTCCTGGGCAGGGTTATTTTGCAAAATGGATCTCCCCTCTGTGGTCGGAGGTGCTGTCCTCCACGGTGAGTGGGAGAGCCCTGTGCAGGTGTCTTTCACCCTGGATCGGATCACCTGCAGGTCTGGGAGCTCGAATTACCGCCTGTCAGTGTCTGGGGATGCATTCAGGGTGTGGCCGGGTCTCACTTATCCCTGGGGTCTGTTGAGCTGCTCCTTGGGAGCCAATTCCCTAAGTGCAGCTCCTGGTGCTTCCCGAGGCACGTTCCCTGGAGGACCTCATCCATTAAGGATGTGGCAGAGCCCTGTGTCACCTGAATTCAGCCAGTCAGTGTGGGCTTTATGCTTAGGAGTTGATGCCACTATGGAAAACCTGTGAGCTAATTGATGTGGGGGCGTAGCCTGATCTGAAATGAGCGTTCTGGAAGAGTTCCTTCCTAGCTGGCATGATGATGCACACCTGTAATCCCAGCACTCTGGAAGCTGAGGCAGGAGGATTGCCACCAGTTCAAGGCCAGTGTGAATTACACCTGTCTCAAAAAGCAACACAAAACAGTAAATAAACAGAGGGCTCCTTCTTTTCTCCCTATTATGTCTCTCTGCCACTTGGCCTCTTAACTCCCTTCGTCACTGTGTCTCCTTTTCCCTCTGGATTTCTAGTTTTCTCTTTCTCTTGTCTCAGTCTCCTCCACACCCCCATCGTCCTAGTCTCTGCGTCTCCCTCTGTGTCCTCATCTCCGTATGACACTTTGGCCCGCTGGCTCTGACTGTCCTCTGGGATGTGATCTTTTCCCTGGTGGGTGACTCGGTACAGGCCCAGAGTAAGTTGCTCAGGGACCTTGGAGCCTGCTCATCCCCTGGATGGTGGCTGCGGGATGGCCCCAGAGTTCAGGATGGCCCCGAGTTCTTGCCTCTGTTCTTCCAAGCTCCCTGGGACTCCAGAGCTTTGCATCAAGTGGTTGCTGGGCTGCCCCTTGGGGCCCTGCCCTCTCCTGGCTGCTCACAGGAATTGTCCTTTCCAAGTAAGAAAGTGTCGCCTAAAAGAACAGAACCTGCTCAGATCCGGATCCGCTGTGAGCTGTTTTCCAGGAGACCCGTGGATGATGACGTTGTCTGTGGTGCCTCATCACCCAGGTGGCTTTGCCGTCTGCGGGAGTGGGAGCGGCCTCAGCCCTCGACACCCCATCACAGCCCTCCCTGTGGTTTCCATGGAGATGGCTAGCGTAGTGTCTCGAAGGGGGCAGTAGGATTGTGTTTTTCACCAATCACTCCATACTCAGATGATAAGAATCAGAATATCAGACAAACATTTTAATGTAATTTCGAATCGAGGCCTTGCTGGCCCGGGTGTCCCCATAGTCAGGCCTTCACCTGTCCATTGAGGAGGGGTCACCCTGCTGACTGCTTTGGAGGCAGGTGGAGGTGACCCCTGGCGGGGCCCAAGTTCCCACTCGTCCTGGGCCTCAAGCTTCCTGTGCAGGTGCTGAGCTGGGTGCAAGGTCAGATGTCCACATCCACTCCCGAGCTCTGGCTCTGGCCCAGGGCTCCTCTCCGTTGCCCTTGTCACCTTTGGCCGTGCATGGCTCTTGGAGGTGAGCGCCAGGGGGCCTCCTTGACTCGTGCTCCCGGTGGGCGTCCACTTGAGCCCCCCTGTGGTTTCCAGGGTGGGTTACATATTCTCACTGTCACCCCCTGGCCTGTGAAAACCTTTGCGTTAGGCACGCTCGAGTTGCTGGAGAGAAGTTCTGTGTCTTTGGGTGGCAACAAGCAAGACCCAGGAGGAACCCCAGCCAGCCTCGCGGTTTCATCTGCCTGACAGTTGGGGAGAAAGCCCAGGCAGGAATTCGTACATTAAACTTTGCAGCAGAGTAAACTGAAGCTCACGGCCAGGGAGGAGTGGGTGCGGGACCTGGTCAGTGGTCAGTGGGTGTCTAACTTGCGGCCACAATCTTCACAGCGGCCACAGACTGCCACACCTCGAGCAGCTTTAGCGCTGGCCATGCCTGTGAGTTTTGTGTGCTGGGTTTAGTTCCTCTGCAGACCTGGTAGAAACTCGAGCCTGGCGCCCCAAGAGGCCTGGGCCCTGTGGAAGCCAGGATTCCCAGAGCACTGTGGGGAAACGATAGAAGGCCGTATTAAGAGTTTGTTCCGTGGGATCAATATCCTGTGTCTGATCAAACCCTGCTCCGTGGAGCTCCAGCCATGTGACTCTGCTACCTGCTTATCACCTTAGGTCTCGTTTCCCATCTGCGAGGGGAGGGTGGTAACAGAGCCTCATCGCCTGGGGCCAGGATGATGTTTAAATGAGATAATACGGGCGAGCACCTATATAATAACTTACCAGGTAGCCTCATGATTAAAGAATGAAGGGCCAGCTTAACCTCCAGCTTGTCAGACAAACAGGGCAAAGACACCTGTGAGCTAGGTCACAGGTTTTCTGCTGAGGATTGTTTTTCTACACAGCAGAGAGCCTCTGAGGGGTCAGGCCGCTGGAGAGGACTCAAGACGTCTCCACAAATGTGGGCTATTAAAGAATCAAAATTACACATCTGTCCGTCCCAGCACTCTGGAGGGCTGAGGCAGGAGGGTCGTAGGTTCGAGCCCCGCCTGGGCGGCTTGGCGAGACCCTGTGTCAGGATAAAAAAATAAAAGAGCTGGGGATGTGGGTTCAGTCCCTAGTGCCAATCACATGAGGTGACTGTTCTTCTCCCAGTGAGCCCGTGTGCCTCTCCACCCACGGACCAGCTGCTTCCGTGTCCAGGACAGGTGATGTCAGGTGCTGGCAGACGTGAGATGAAGGTGGAGGTGTGGATGAAAAGTATTTTCTTGTGCTGCTGACCCTTGTCTCTCGCGGGACCCACCCCGTCCCTGTCCCGTGCCGGGGAGCAGGGCAGTGCGTCAGCCTCGCCTGCAGTTAAGGGAATGGAAACACAGCCGGGACCGCCCTTCATGGACGGTTCTTATTCTTCAGAACTGGGACAGTGGGCGACTGAATGGGCTCCTTTCCTGGAAGAGGACTAGAAAGGCAGACGTTGAATACCTTGCCCTGGATTGCTCAGCGGTGGGAAGTGGGAACCAGGAGCCCAGATTCCTAGCCTTCCCCTCCTGCCGCTGAAAGGCAGCGCTGGATTCCTGCCCAGGGTCTCCCCCAGACTGCATGTGGCCCTTGTGTGTTGTCCAGAGGGAATGGTGGCCCTGGGCAGTGCCTGCTGACCTTACCTAGAGGGCACCTCCTCCGTCCTCCTTGCCCAGCCCCAGGATGCAGAGGCGGAAACATCTAAATAGTTGTGGCTGCGGGGGACACTGAACCCGGGGACCCACTTTCTAGGGTTTCTCAGGTCCTCCTGGTGAGCAGGGACCCTTGGGCGCCATGGAACAAAGACACCTGTTCATGTGGGAATGAACCTTTAGTGTGGCTGTGGGGTGCAGGGCAGCCTTAAACCTAGAGCTGGGATGGACAGTTGTAGCTGAGTTAGTTGTGAATCTCATCAAGTCCATGGTAGAAAGACAACCAGTGGGAGGAAGAGAGAGCGAGAGAGTAGAGACCCAGGGAGAGGTGACCTGTGGCCAGCTCGTTCCAGTCGGTGCCTTCATTGGGACAGCAGAGACTGAGGCCAGAATTCCACGTGTGCTGTAGTCAGGTGCTAACATGATCAGAGCTAAGATTCCATTTTGGTCGTCTTAGTCCTGCACCTGTAAGACGTAAGGGTGTCTTTTCGGGTACATGGAGAAAAATCAGGGTCATACATGTGTGGCTCGACTTGGGAATTTGAACCTCCGAGTTCATTCTTTCCCCACTTTGTCCAGTGCCACGAGCAATACCCAGTCATTTTCACTGTACTCCTTGGTTGGACACAAAATGCTCCACAGTGTCAGTACACGTTACCCAGAACCTTGCTTCTCAGAAGTGTTTGTCTAGAGCCTGGTGCGGTGGTGCATACCTGTCATCCCTGCACTCTGGGAGGCTGAGGCAGGAAGATCGCAAGTTTGATCCCAGCTTGGGCAACTTGTGACTTAGTGAGATGCTCTCTCCAAATGTAAAAAAATAACGTAAAGGGCCAGGATGCCGTCCAGTGTGAAGGCCCTGGGCTCAGTTCCCAACACTGCAAAAGAAAGAAAGAGAAGGAGAAGAACAAGAAGACGGGAGGAGAGGAAAGATGTAGTAGTCATATTTGTTTGAGAACACAGCAGGGACTACAAATGCTCCTGTTACCAGGAATGGGATCCTCGGTGCCTTTGAATTGTATTCGATGAGAGAACAAATTCAGAAACCTTGGAACCAGTTCAGAAAGCTCATCCTTGAGATGCTGTTTCCCTGGAACCACTGAATGCCAGAGCCTGTGGGATGGGTCCTCTGAAAGACGGGGAGGGCGCTGTGTCTGTTTGTCCGTCCATCCCCGTTGGTTTTCCACTGTGCTGTTGAGGCTGCACTTTGAGCTACACCTACAGGGTTTTCCCTACTTCCTGCTTCGGCTTTGTCCTCCTTCTTTTTGTTCATGAGAAACAACTTAACTTTCGGGCATCTCCAAATCCTAGCCTTGCATCCATTCTTCATGAATGTGCTGGGGCCCCCAGCTGCTTGTAAATAAACATTGTCTGCCTGTTCCCTGCCTTTCCTAGCTGTGCTGACGAGCCTGCCAGTGGCTGGTGTGGGGTCGCAGCCTTCAGTTGAGACATTTCCTGGAGAGGAAAATCATGTAGCTCTACTGGCCACCAAGGAAGCATCAGCATTGTGTTTAGAGAAGTGCAGAAAGGCCAAGTAAGCCATTCTGTGGTTTATAATTATTAGTGGCAATTATTTCTGGCATGCAACGCCCTGGTGTCTGTGGCCTGCCTGGGCTCCCTCACATGGTGTTCACAGGAGCCCCGGGGTTGGTTTGTTAGTTTTTAAATCACAGAAGGGTTGCTTGGGGGGGGGCGGTCCAGGCCACTGGTGATGGTGGTGCAGTCCATGGGTGAAGCCATATTCCCTCGAGGTAGAGGCCTTGGATGTGATGGTGAATGTCTGCCTTGCTCTTTGGGGCTGAAGAGCAGAAATAAGTCAAGACACTTTGAATCCGTTGGGGAGGTTGAACAGAGCAAAGAAGTGAGATGCAAGATGACCCCTTCCTCCTTGTGCCCACCTCTTATGGCCCTGCCTCCCCCCGCCCCAACTTGGAATGGGCCACGCACGGGTCCTTGCTCATCCGTGGTCTAAGGAGGCAGGTTCTGGTCCACAGTTGTCTTGGAAGCTCTGCCCCAGTTCTGGGTTTGCCAGAAGCTGAAGGTCAAAGTCATTCCTCTGCAAGGTGCACAGAGGGAAGGGTGTCCATGTCTTTGTCACACAGCTGCCACCCTGCTCTGTGAGTCGAGCTTCGCGGGGAGAGATGCAGCTCTTTGTTTAAGTCGCTTGGCTGTTGCTGTGACAAAATACTTGATATCCACAATTTAAGGAGAGGTTTGTTTGGCTCAAGGTTCCAGTGGGTTCAGTCCATGGTCAGCTGGCTCCAAGGCAGAAATGACATGGTGGAAAGGCCTGGTGAAAGAGAGCTGCTTGCATCATGGCAGCCAGGACACAGAGAGAGAGAAGGGAGGAGCCGGGGACAAGAGTGCACCCTTGCAGGTCACAGCCCAGTGGCCCATCTCCAATCAGGTCCCACCTGCTACAGCACATTTAGCCATGAACTCATGAGTGGATGGTCCACTGATGAATAGAGTGCCCCACGACCCAGTTGCCTTCCAAAAGTCCACCTCTGAACATAGGAGACTTGGGGGATCTTCCAGACCTCCCAGCACCTTGTACTCTGGATTGCAGAGGACTGGGAAGCAGTTTGGCAAGAGATTGCCAGTCGTGTGAGGACTCTGGGAAATGTGGATACTTGTCTGCAGATTTTCACAGATCATTGAGCTTTTTTTTTCCCTCTCTTCCAAGCACCTTTGCTCTCATGAACTTTTTCACGGAGGTAAACCAAGAAACCTGCAAGGTTTTGCACACTTCTTTTCGGACTTATCTGAACCTCACCTTTTTATTTTTCACCTCAGACCTGGCTGGCCCGGGAGAGTTAGACCTAGCCAGACGCGTTGGCTGCTCCGTCCAAGGCTGGGCGCCAGTGAGCCTGTGAGAACCACTGGTCCCCTGCAACCTCACAGCCATTTGCATCTCATCAAAGGCTTTGGCAACTGTGAGGCCTTCTTATTAGGTGGTATTCTCGGGTTTGGGGTGAGCTGGAGCGGCCTGCTCAGCAGACCCCTCCCTGGGTGGACCTTGAAGCGGTCAGGAGCCCAGGGGTCCCTGCGGGCCTTCTGATCATTTGCCCTTTTCTTTCTGGGTGCCTGTTCTGGGCAGGCTTGTCTGGGCTCTGCAGTCCACCCTCCTGCCTGGGGTTGTCCCTGAGAGCCTGGAGTGGGCTGCCTGTCTGGCCTCCCAACACTCCCTGGCTGAACAGCGGCTCCTTTGTGGCATTCCTGAGGCAGGAGGGGCAGCTCTGTGGAACCAGCTCCCAGAGAAGCAGGCAGAGAAGAGAGCCTTGTGGAGTGTGACCAAGCGATAAGACTTTGAAAGGTCTCTGGAGAGTAAAGGAAGCACATTCCCGGCTGAGATCTCTTTGGGCGTGAGGGCCCTGTGTTTGGAGAAGAGGGAAACTTGGCTGGGTGACAGGAGTGGAGGTCAGCCCTGCGGCAGGGGCTTGGGTAACCCGAGATCTAATTCCAGCTCGGATGCCTTCCATAAATCATGAGATCATTTAATCAATTTAACATACATTTATTGATTGCCTACTCTGCGCAAGCAGATAGTTGATCTTCAAGGTATTGACATAAAGTAGGGAGTAAAACACATCCGTAACTGGGTGATTCCTGGAGCGAAGGATGGGGTTCTCAGACAGATGGCATGAGGCCTGAGATGTTTTGCGGGTGCTAGAGCAGATCTGCTCTGGATAACGCAGGCAGCAAATGTTTCAGTGAGGAGATTTGTTTGTTAGTTTTTAAATCCTTGGAGGCAGAAGGTTTGCTTGGAAGGATCTTGTGCGAGAGGGACACGGAAAGGTTCTCTTTCCATGAAGGTCACTCTGGGAGAGTCCTGGGAATGCACGGAGAAGCGGGACGGGTGTTGGGAGTCATCCTAAGCTGGAATTCCGGTTGGGAGGCTGTGTTGGAATGAGAAATGGTGAGAGAGCTGGGTTTAAGGGATGAACGATTTCAGAAGCTAAAAGCATTGGCGTTCAGTGGGTGTAAATGGTTCCCAACTTTCTGGCCTTCTCTGAAAGCACACAAGGTTGTGTCTCCCACTAACAGTGTTACCTGTGGACCGATGCCTGTCGTGGTGGCTCCCTTTGCTTGGGGAGCAGGGACCCAGGAGTCCTGGGGGGAGATGTGGAGGGCCTTGTGTTTGCTCGAGAAGCCACGTGAAGCCCCTTACTGGCCTTTGGCCACAGTGAAACCCAGCAGGGAGGTCTGGCGAGTGTGAGCAGAGAAGGCAAGTACGGTCAAGTCCATCGATCACCTGAAAGAGGCGTCCAGGTGGCCCCTGGGAGTGGGTGCTTGGAAGCTATCTGAGCTGGAGATTCTCACGTTGGGGATCAGCAACCAGGAGGCAGATGCCCGAAGATGTCTGGGACACACAGGGAGGTGTGTCAACTCCCAGGAGCACTGGACACGGGAAACTGGGCCTTCTGGCTGGGGGACTCAACCTCACCACGGCAGTCTCCTCACCTGTGAGGCGAGGTGGTGTCTCCTCTGACAGGGTGGGGGTGGGCGTGGACACGCCCTGGGCAGGGGGTGCCTCCCACGAAGCCTGGTCTCCTTCCTCATGGCGTCCGGCTGAGCCTCCTATGTTCTGATTGCCAGGAACCGTGGTGTACGGCGAGCCCATCACTGCCAGCTTGGGGACCGATGGCTCCCACTACTGGAGCAAGAACTGGGCCAAGGCTGCTGCCTTCGTCACCTCCCCACCCCTGAGCCCCGATCCAACCACTCCCGACTTCCTGAACTCCCTGCTGTCGTGGTGAGTCCTGGCATCGTGTTCCCACTTCTCACTCAGTCTCTTCAGACCACGCTGACCTGGTCAGTGACAACATGGTGGCCAAGGGCCGGGCTGACAGTAGACCCTTAGTTAGCAAACTGGGATCACTAAACTGGAGCAAGAGATTAATCATTGTGTCACCATCCGGGAGAGACTTCCTTACACAGACCTGGGCCATCATGATAGTTAACTAAAGGGGATGAATGAGGTGTCAGAAGGACCGCACTCTCGGTGGTGTGATGTCACCCCCCAAATACCTCCCAGAACAGATTGAGGCACACAGTGTCACAGTGAAGCTGCAGCAGCACGTTGTGTGTTTCCTTGCAGTGGAGACCTTCAGGTCACTGGCAGTGCCCACTGTACCTTCAACACCGCGCAGAAGGCTGTAGGAAAGGACAACTTCACTCTGATTCCCGAGGGCACCAATGGCACTGAGGAGCGGATGTCTGTCATCTGGGATAAGGCTGTGGTAAGGAGCAGGGGTCTCAGCCTTCACCTGCTCAATCCTCTGTGGGTGTGGGGCTCTTGCTGGTCTTGAAATGCCAGTGGAGAACATTCTAGAAGCTAGCACCTGCGTGACAGGATTTCTTCTGTTTGGAAATCCAGAACCACTCCTAAGAGGTCCTTTCCCCTAAATATTACGCACAACTCATCATCATCTACAGAGACTTCAATATGAGGTTTGATCAGAACATATGAGGAATATCTAAATTTAAAAAATTAAGGCTGGGGATTTAGCCCAGTGGTTCTCCTGCCTGCCTTGCAAACGCAAGGACCTGAGTTCAATCCCCAGTACAAAAAAAACAAAAAAAACCCTACAGTGAAAGACACGTTGACACTAATCCTCAAAACAGGCCCCTTGCTGTGGACACACTTATCCCATAGTTCTTGTCACTTTCTGAAGCAGTCATCAGTGTTTTCAGTGGGGCTGACATGGCTGCTTCAATGTTCTGAACTGATTGAAAACATGTATTTCAATTTCTGTCAGATAAAAACATTACAGTGTGCCCTCATCCAGCTCAGTAGTGGATTTGGCACTGAGTGACTTCTTGCTGTTCCCCAGAGTTAAGATGATCATGAAAGGTGAGCATTTTGAAAGGATTCAGGATATCAAGGCCGCCAAAAAGAAGACTTCCAGAATTACCTCAGAAAGTGGCAAGAATGAAGGGAGAAACATGTTCAAAGTGAGAGGGAGGATTTTGAGAGGGACTTACTCATACTTTTACTCTCATCAAGTTAGAAAGATTGAACATTGACCACATTTTGTGATCATACCCTGTGTGACGCCTGTGTCAGGCAGAAAAGTTTTCCTAGCTATCTGGTGCCTTTCTTGGTTAACTCTGGGAATGGGACTCCATTTCCTCAAGAGAACCTCTGAGGGCCGTCTGGATTTCTCTCACTTCTACCCAACACCGGCATCTGACCTTTGGGCCTTTTCATTTTAATATATAATAACTGGTTTCCTGTTTTTCAGTGGTTTTAGATTATGTAAATTAAAATCACCTGTTTCACATATTACTACAATGGACAATGTTTCTCATTTTTGCTAATGCACAAATGTCTATGGTATGAAAGAGTTATAAATAATAGCACCATACATTTCTATTTTATGGCCTTTTTTGAAAAAAAAAAACCAACTAATATATCATGAAAAAGTTTTAATAGCAGGCGATTCCATCCTAATACTCACCTGTAATCCTTTAGTCAAGCATTTATGCTGATTTTTTCTCTTTTTTTGGTACTGGAGATTGAACTTGGGACCTTGCGCTTATGAGGCAGTCCGCGGCACCACTGAGCTACATCCCCGGCCCCATTTATGCTGTTTCTAATTTTTCCACTGGAATTAGCATCCCTTCAGACACATCTGTGGACACATCCTTAATTATGATGATAGGAGAAATTTCTAGAAGTAGCATCGCTTGGTCAAAGTGTGTGTATATTTTTAAGGCTGTTACTATCCATTGTTAAAGCTCCTTCCTGAAAGATTGTACCATTTGCGGTGCCCCCGACAATGTGTGACATTCCCAGTTCTTTCTTCAGGTCCAAACAGGTGTTATTATTATTATGTTGAGCACAGAAATGAAGGATTGCTGAATTGGTAAATGAATTCTGAGTCTGTTAGACACTTAATTCTCTTCAACTACTGATGAGAGTGACTATTTTCGCAGATGCCAGCTGGCCATTGGTATCTTTCCCTTCCTCTTTTTGGGCGGTACTGGGGTTTTCCTCCCTCAGACTGCACGCGCAGGTCCTTGGCCCTTGGTTCTACTGAATGTTTTTAGGAAAGGTGATTGGCCCTTCGCAGACCTTGTGCTGTATGACTGTACCATACGTGAGACCTGAGACACCAAGTGGGGACTGTCGGCTGACTAGATGAGAGCTGTAGATCTGTGCCTGGATTTTATCAAAGGGGACACTTCAGATGCGTGTCAGTGCGTGCCTTTTAATCGCCTTCCTGACCCTTGCTGTGTTTGTGTGCACACGTGTGTGTGCATGTGTGTGCATGTGTTCTTCAGGTCACTGGGAAGATGGACGAGAACCAGTTTGTGGCTGTGACCAGCACCAATGCAGCCAAAGTCTTCAACCTTTACCCCCGGAAAGGCCGCATCGCTGTGGGGTCGGACGCGGACCTGGTCATCTGGGACCCCGACAGTATGAAGACCATCTCGGCCAAGACACACAACAGCGTAAGGCCTGCTCACCATGCAGACTTGGTCCACGTGAAATATAGTCACCGAACGAACAGAGGGCGGGACAGTCCCAGGGCTTCTTAAAAGACCTGGCTGGGGTGGGAGTGAGCTTCTCCCTTAGTTATAACATGCAGTTTGCTGCAAAGCAGAATCCTATTTCACTTCTTTGGTGAGGTCGGTAAGACTGTTACCCTGATCTGTTGTAGTATCAAAGCCTCCCTGTCCTTGGATTTTCAGTCTCCAAAATGACACTGAGATATCAGAAGCTTCTAGAAGCCAGGTCCCATTCCGTTTCATGGTTTAGTGCAGTACCTCTCATGGTGGTGCTTGATGCCAGGGACCTTTATAAGTTAGCTTTCTGTCACTGTCACAGAATACCCGAGAGAGCTCAGCTAGAAGGAGAAGGGTTTACTGTGGCTCACGGTTCAGAGGTTCCAGTCCATGGTCAGCTGGCTCCACTGTTTCTCTGCTTGAGGCGAGGTAGAGCATCGTGTTGGAAGAGTATGGTGGAGGAGAGCTACTCACATCACAGTGGCTGAGAGGCAGAGACAGAAGGGGAAACAGAGAGGAGGAGCCCAGGGACCACAGGCGGGATCCACTGTCTTTACTAGGTTCCACCTCCTGTTTCGATCCCTCCCCATGATGCCATCAACTTACAAGTAATCCTCCTGAGGAGGTGAGAGTCCTCGTGATCCAGTCACTTCCCAGGAGCCAGTCAGCAACCAAGCCTTTAATACAGCAAGCCCTTTTCAGGAACGTTTTGGATTCCAGTTAAATCACTGCCTAAACAAAACTGTCAGATGTCCAGTGTTGAGAGGCACTTTCATGTTTACAAGCCACATTTTCTCATGTCTGGAAACTTTAATGATAGCTGCTCTCACTGTCCCAAAGGAATGGATCAAGTTTGACTTCTCCCCACACAGAAATACCCTCGGCCACTTGCTCATGATTTAGGGTCTGCTCCTGCCTCTCGATCTGGGCCCCAGAGCTTGGGGTCCATTGTCTCGTTAATGTTTCAGGCTTGTTCCTTGGCTGAGTTTGAAGGGCTCAGCAAGATTTCTGGGTGTCCCGGGATTAAAGAAGTGTTAGATTTCACTGATCGCTCACAAGGAATTTGTGTCCCTATAAAACCGAAAAAGCATGGGCCAGGGGAGACTTCACCTGCATCTTGAAGCGAATTCTTAATGAGTGGGGAGGATGTTTGGGATGGAATTCAAAGTAGAAAGCCGGCTCTGTAGGGGATAGGATTCAGACCACCCCTTGCCCCCGAGATGGCCTGGGGCACCAAGGACAGATGCCACCCAAGTGCCACAACAGTGTGGGCAGGTTCTGGCCGCTCTACAGGACGGGACGACCCTTTGCTGGGTCCAGATCCTCTCTTAATGGAACAGAGGGGCTTGGGCCAGGATGTGTCTGGCTCTCTTCCAGCTTCTGTGGCACCTGTGGATGTCATGGTGGTGGTGGCTTCTTGGAAGGTTGCTCAGCTCCATATTTATAGACTTCTGCCTCCTTCCCCACTGGCAGTGTAGCCAGTAGCTGCACCCACTTACGACTCAGATCGCCACTCTTGGGGTCGGCAGCGATGTCCTGGCGAACCCACCTATTCAGATGCATCTAACTTTGCATCTGTCTGTCATTTGAGCTGCTCCGTACAGGGACTGGTGTTATTATCCCAAGTGGGAAGATAAATAAACGGAGGTGTAGAGAGCTTAAGTGACCAGTCTAATGTTACATAGCGATTTTGCGGTTGCGCCAGAATTAGAACCTGAAATTGCTCAGGCTCTGCCCTGCCAGACTGCAGCTTTTTTCTGGGTCGGGGTTGGGCGGGTGAAACGCTGACCTCCCTTGCCAGGCCCCTTCCCCAGCGGTGGAGACCGAGGCACACGGCTCGTGATTGAAGACACAGACCCACCTAACCACAGTTTGCATTTGAGCTCTCCGTGTGGGCGGTCGGGTGGGATTGTGGAGGAGTGAATGTTCCGGAAGGCAGATCCCATCCCTCACTGTCCCGTCCAGATCTTTCCACAGCAGTAGCACTGCCCTGCTTCTCCCCGAGCTCAGTCTAAGAATGTTAACTAAGGCAGGCACGGTGAAGGCGAACGTCTAGCCCAGCTCTCTGGAAAGCGGAGGCAGGAGGATCACAGGTTCGAGGCCACCCTGGGCAATTCAGTGAGGCTTCTCAAAATTGAAGACAAACAAACGAACAAACAAACCAAAATGGGTGGGGAAGTAGCTGTGTGTGAAGGCCCCAGTCTAATTTCCTGCTGTGTGCGTGGCTTGGCGGGGAGGCCACTGCCGATAGGATAGGAGGAGTCATGTCCTCAGCGTTTGTGCAGCGTGAACAAGCACGCTTTCTCCCCACAGATGCTCTCTGTGGTTGGAGTTGTAGGAAAGCGTTCCGTGCTCTAGACAAGGAGAGCAAGACAGGGAGAAGTGGCTTGGGTGGCAGTGGGGACAGGGACTGGGACCCTGAGCCTGGGGGACCCAGTCGGAGGCTGACCGTGTCACATCTCCTCCCCAGGCGCTCGAATACAACATCTTTGAAGGCATGGAGTGCCGCGGTTCCCCGCTGGTGGTCATCAGCCAGGGCAAGATTGTGCTGGAGGATGGCACCCTGCACGTCACCGAAGGCTCCGGGCGCTACATCCCCCGGAAGCCCTTCCCTGACTTTGTTTACAAGCGTATCAAGGCCAGGAGCAGGGTGAGTGGCTTTGCCCTTAGGGTTTTTTGAAATCATGCATTGAGTTCAATTCCATAAACATTTGTTGTCATGAAGCACATGTTGCATCAGAATGATGAGATGTCTATGGGGAAGGGTGTCTGGAAGGATAAGAGGAACCCGACCTTTTTATTTCTGGGACAAAGTCAGCCTGAAGTAGGTGCTCTGATAAGGGGTAGGGGGTGAGGGTTAGGAAAGGGAACCACTGTTGAGTAGTCATGGAGGAAGGTGTCGGGAGAGGGCATTTTGAGTTGGGTTTTAAAGGTAAGTAGGAGATTGTGAAGCTGAGAGAGGGAGCTAAATGAACTGGGTAGAGAGAAACGTACCTGGACCCCAGGAGAGCCTTCTGTTCCCCCCGAGCCACGGGTCTGGGAGGCCACGTTCTCAGGTGAGGCCTGAGCGAGGGTGCTGTGTTTTGCAGCTGGCGGAGTTGAGAGGGGTCCCCCGTGGCCTGTATGACGGACCCGTGTGCGAGGTATCTGTGACGCCCAAGACGGTCACCCCAGCCTCCTCGGCGAAGACGTCCCCTGCCAAGCAGCAGGCCCCACCCGTGCGGAACCTGCACCAGTCTGGATTCAGCTTGTCTGGTGAGCAGGCGGAGGGCAGGGGTGGGAATGCTTCCTGCCACCCACAGGGGGCCTCAGACGCGGGAGATCAGTTTATGTCACGCCCACAATGCGACACCCGCCACGTGTACAGTGCCCCATCAGTGGCGGGACCGTTTTCCTATGCTACCTCCACCACCAAGAAGGGTGCTGTTGTTGGGCGCAGTGGTTCCCACCTGTAATCCCAGCACAAGGGAAGCTGAGGCAGGAGGATTGCTGCAGGTTTGAGGCCAGCTTGGGCTACAGAATGAGTTCAAGTTCAGCCTGGATTATTTAGAGACTGTGCCTCAAAAAAAAAGGGAAGGGTGCTGTTGCAGTCCGGGGGTGCAGAGTGGGGATTTAGCAGCCCGACTTTTAGTTCATTGGAGTATGTCTCCATCTTATGTACACGATGGGTTTTGAGCCAGGCCCCCTGTCCGGCTGTTGGGAGGGCTGGAGAGTGGTTTTCTGTGGAAGCTTAGAACCCGGCCCTGGGACACATTAGCCGTTTGCTAGATGGAATATCACTGCCGCCCTGTGAGAGGAAGCGGCCCAGATCTGTTTCCCTCCCTCCACTTCCTGCTGCCTCTCCCTTGGCCGAGACCGGCTCTTCTGTTCTCCCAGTAACCCGCGCCTGTGATGTGTTAAACAGAGTTCATGAGGTGGGTTTTTTTTTCTTAGCAGATCTGCTGGTTTTTAGAAAGGTATCGTATGTGCCATTTTTGGGTTCCATATTTTCCAAAAGTGTTATAGAAGCAAATTTTAATTTTCTCATAAAGTGAAATGGCTACCATGGTATCTACTCTCTTCTCTCTTTGGGCCGCTTGAATAGACGGCTCAGTTGTTTGGGGGCTTATCTGCAATCCTCGGGGCCAGAACCATTTTGGCTTTTTAAAATATTTGGAAATTTTCAGTTTGCTCCCTGGTACAAATTTTTTAAAAGAAATTTTGGAATATTTCCCTGTGCACCATGAAATACCTTGCACAGGACCCGAGCCTCAACACAGTTTATTTCTGCGTCATGCCCACCGTATTCACCTAGACGGTTGGTGTTTTATTCAGCAGTTTAGTGCACCTATGTTGGGATTGTGACCCTGCCCCAGGACTTTTCTGCTAGTGTGGTCTCGGTGCTCACAAAGTTTTAGGCTTCAGTACATTTGGGCGGTCGGGTTCTCATCCTGCCTGGCTGTTGCTCCTACTTTTTGTCACTCAGAGGATGAGGGCAGAGGATGTAGTCTGAGACACAGGGGTTTTTGTTTGTGTTCTGACGGTGCTGGGAATTGAACCCGGGGCCATGCACACGCGTGGCAGGTGCTTTCCCGCTGAGCTGCAGCCACAGTCCACGAAATAGTTTTTGATCTGTGGTTTTACTTAACCAGTGAAGGAGCTGGCCAAGCTTGGAAGCACCGCATCTACCCCAGGACGCTTGGGCGACCACAGCCTGTCTTGTTTCCGCAGTGAGAACATTAACCTGAGCTTCTGGGAAGAGGGCAGAGAATGGGCCTGGCCCTTCTTCTTCTGGGCTGTGTGACTCGGGTTCCAAGGTGTGGATCCTCACCTCACTCTCTCTCCCCACTTCCCTCCTCTCCAGGCGCTCAGATTGATGACAACATCCCTCGCCGCACCACCCAGCGCATCGTAGCGCCCCCTGGCGGCCGTGCCAACATCACCAGCCTGGGCTAAGCTCCCGCACCCATAGGCCGCTGGGGACAGGGGATGGGACACCCGAGGACATTCTGAGACTTCCTTTTCTTCCTTCCTCTTCTCCTCCCCCCACCTCCTTTTTTTTTTGAAGAGCCTGTGATAGTTGCTGTGGGCAGCCAGTTCCTGGGGCTCCCCCTGGAGCCCTACACTCTGCCTCTCACCTGGGGTTACTGAATTCGCTCACTCACTTCCCCATCCCCCCCCCCCGTAAACCCCGCACCACACCTAGCCCCCCCCCTTCACCGAGCAGCGTGCGTCCCGCAGTCAGACGTCCGCCACAGAGCAGGTCCCGGCTCCTCCCTCCGCGCTCCGCGCCCGCATCTTCCTTGTCGTGGGGAGGATACAGTGAATCGCCCTGAGCTGCCTTTTTGTCTTTGCTTTTTAAATTTTTAAAAAGGCTGTTTTTCTTTTCTTTCTTTCCTTTTTTTTTTTTTTTGGTGGGGCTAGGGAGGGGTTGGGGTGGGAGAGAGTTTTTTCTTTTTAAATATTAAATTGGAAAGTGATCAATATTAATAACACGGGTTTGAACTGGACATCCTAATGATGCAGTTATGTGATCATCACGCTTTCTGGGCGGTTGGCAGACTTGTTTTGTTCCTCCTGAGCGGCTCCAAACGGTCCCCTCTGCTCTTCTGTAGTCTTCTGGGTCAGCTGTTGAGAAAGGGCAGGTATTTTCTTTTGGCCTAGATTTTTGCAGCGGATTAGATCTTTTGAGGATTCTCCATGCCATTCTCCATTTCCGCACCCCCTCTCTTGCTCTCTCTAGCTTTTTCGTTCATGAATATTTCAGATACCCATGTCTTGCCTCATGTTTCCCCTGGCCCTGGTCCCCGAGGCTGGGTTTCCCCCTCCTTCTCCCGCGGTCTTTTCTGATCTCCAGGTGTCCCGTGTCCTGCAGTCAGAACCCTTGGGAAGGACTTGCTTTGCCCTGCTGCCCTGAGCCTTTGTGCTCCAGGCCTCTGTCAGACTGGTGCTCCCACCCACGGTCACGACTGGGGTGTGTGAGGTTGCCAGGTGCACGGATGGCTGGATCTCACCCACGACAGCCACGTCACCCATGGCCCGAGGGGGCCACAAGGCTTGGGGATGTGAAGGGTGAGGCTGCAGGATGTTGGGTGTTTGCTGAAGGACATAGCCCATAGCCCAGGCCCCCGCGGGCAGCCTCCAGCCCCGTCCCCAAGCAGGATCTCTGGGTTCCGGAATACACTGAGGTTTCTCACTTTGGGGGAAACAACATATTTTTATCTTATCCAGGTATTTCCAAAGTTATAATTCAGTACAAGGTGGGGGGTGTCTTACAAACTCAGAAATCCCTTGGAAAATTTGCTTGGAAGTCCATTTGCAAGAGGGGGAAAAAATTTTTTTTAATGTCCCATGGGTCATGTCAGCGCCGATTGGGGAAAAAAAATCCTCCACGTGGAGTGTGTGGTCCCTTCAGAGACAACGGGTGACCTTGCGCCCGCGTCTGTCCCTCCCCCTGCCTCAGTGGCCCCTTTGTGCTAGCCGCCTGCTTTCTGCCCCTGTTGACCGTGTCGCATTTCTTTCCAGACCCTTGTGCAGGTCCTCGTGAGCAATATTAGGTTTGCGGGCTTTTAGGAAACCAAATTGGATTTGTAAAGCGTAACATCAAAAAGTCATTGTTGATGTGACATTTGTCTCTCCACACGTTTTTGCCTTTGGGGTTTATGGTCGGGGTTTTGGTTTGTTGTTGTTTATTTGTTATTTGAAAGGTAAATTGCACTTTTTTTTTGAAAGAAAGGAATTGGTTAACTTAATATATTTGCTTTTTTTCCTTATCTGTACTTAGAGGAAATTGGAACAAGTTGGAAAAGAAATTTTTGTTTCAATTCTAAGAAACACATGCAGCTCTTTAGTATTCGCTTGTCTTCCTGTCTTTCCTGTACCAAGCCATGGTAATTTTAGTTGTTTTGGTTATTTTCTTAAAAAAAAAAAAAACAAATAGAACAAACCACAATTTTAACCCTGAAGATTCCCACAGGCCGTGTAAGCATGTTTACCTGTTGGCTTGCTTTGTGTACCTGTTAATGAATGTCATATGTAAATGCTAAAATAAATGGACAGTGTCTCAGAACTGAGCAGCTGCAGTGACTTGATGCTCTAAAACTGTAGGATTTAATACTAGGTGGCTTTTAACCCTTGAAATTGTGATTGTGACTCATGAGTGGAGGACCTTTCAGTGCTAAAGCTGATCCTGTGTGTAACCAGAGAAGTACTTTTGTTTTTGTTTTGTTTGTTTGTTTTGTTCTTTTTTCTTTCTTTCTTTTTTTTTTTTTTTGGTTTTTGTTTTTTTTTTTTTGTTTTTTTTTTTTTTTTTTCTTTTTTTCTTTTTTTTTTTTTTTTTGGTTTTTGTTTTTGTAACCACTCACTGTCTTAATGGCAAAATAATTATGGTAAAACAACAAGTCTCGTGTTTATTATTCCTTAAGAACTCTGTGTTATATTACCATGGAACGCCTAATAAAGCAAACTGTGGTTGTTTCAGGGCTGTGTCTGTATTGAGATGTCCCGGGGGCGGCTGCTTGGCTTCCAGAGGTGTTTCCCCTCCAGAATGGGTCACGGGAGGCCGCCCAAATTCAGTTTCTACTTCACCTCACAGGCTGCGGTGCCCGGGCTGCAGGTGCCTTGGCTGTGTAGACTTCAGCCCAGGCCCCAGGCCTCTGCGGTCAGGCTGCAAGCTCCACTTTGAACCTGGAGAGCTTGAAACTCACTCTCTAGGTGAGTGCGGCCTCCCCTCCGGGCTCCGGGCCACTCCCTGTGGCTTGTTCACCCCGCAGAACCCTCAGGGTTCCTGCAGGATAAAGGATGAAGGTGTGCGGACTTGCACCTGTGTCCCTGCAGAAGCGCTGGTGGGAAACCAGGCTGGGTGCTGGGTTCCACGGTCACCGTGTTCACTGACACCAGCACTGTGTGAAGAGTACGTGAAGATGGTCCACACGTGGGCTCGGTGGGCTCATGGAGGGGTGAAGTCATTTTCTTTCTCTCCAGCTTCCTGCTCTGCCCAGACCCCTCTCATGGTGGGGAGCCCAGGGCCTACCACTGAGCTGCCCCCAACCCCAACCCTTTCTCTTTTTGCTTTTTGTCCAAACCGGATATGGGGTAATTTACAAAAATATATACACAATACTAGAATTTTTATAAACAGTGTTGGTGTGTAAGGAAAATAAGTAAGAAAAATAAGATAAGGCCCATGTGAGTTCGGATGCAATGTCCTGACCCTGTGAGCTTGTCAGGGAACGCTGTGTGCTTTGAAATAGCCCACAACAGCATTGACAGTGACCGAAGAACAAGAAATGAGGCCTTCAGAAGAAATCCAGTGGGTCCCGCTCATTTCCGGGGCTAAGTCCTCGGGTCTCCTGGGAACCACAGTCGGGCTGGCGCTGTGATCCAGTGAAATAGTCTGTCCAGGAGAGGAGTGAGGGGTCTGGGACAAATCCAGATGGGCCAGGGCACAGCCCACGTGTCCATCGTGTCCTGCCTGCACCCCAGTCCAGAGCTGCCCGGCCGGGAGACTGTGGCCCGAGCCCCAGCTCCGCAGAGAGGCCCAGGGGGGTGGTACAAGGGTACTTGGGCCTCTGACCAGGGCTGGCAGGGCCCTGGGACTAATGCTGGCCTGGAAGGGGCAGCCACACTGGCTGGGAACGTCTCTGACCAGGGGGTGAAGGGCACCCTGCGGCAGGTGGGAGGGAGGGACTTCAGCGAGGGAGCAGGCAGCTGGTACCCGTGGCGAAGCACAGGGCCAGCTGTGTCTGCTGGTGCGGTTGATTCCAAACACGTTTTAGAGTGCGAAGGAAAAGTAAGCGCAGCTTGGCTTTCAGGCAGTGCTTTCCCTCCTTGGCCTGAGCCTGAAGCTCTGTTCTCAGGCGTGTGTTCTCCGTGGAAGAACAGAGCCATTCCGTCCCCACCCACTGAGACGGGTAAGTCTGGCTGCGGGTGCTGGCTAGGAGTTCCCCTCGGAAAGCTGTTACCCTCTCTGCAAAGCAGAGACGATGTCTTCGCTTATTTTGGGGATGAGGTGGGCAGGAGGGGGAGTTGAGATTGAACCCAGGGTCTTCACACCGAGCCACACCCTCAGCCCCTTTTTATTTTTGGGACATGGTCTCATCAAGTCGCTGAGTTGCCCAGAATCGGCTCAAATTCACAATTCTGCCTCAGCCTCCTAGGGAGATATTTTCTGCGCAGCTGAGTTCTCAGTTTAGCACCTGGGACTCAACTCTCAGCTCATTCCCCACCTTTCTTGTTGCCCCCTGGAAAAGGACAAGCCAGGCATGTGGTGTAGGCAGTCCGGAGCCCTTGTGCACAGTCTCTGTATTGCTTGTTTGTTTATAAGGGAGGGTTTAATATCACAAGGTGCATTTGTCTGACACACTTTACAAAGTATTTTTTCTAAAGCAATAGAAGAAGTGATTTGAGTAATTATAAATGAATGTCAGAGGGGCCAGAAAATATTTTGACAAAAAAACATCTCTGAGACATCAAGGAATGATGTAACAGCCTTATGATTAAAGAAGATATTGACAGTAGGGTGAATAAAACAATGGAAAAGCATTAGGAATCTCAGATAGATCCAGGAGTGGATGCAGGAGCTAAATCTACTCGGGTAGGAGAGGGGTAGCTTATTTAATGAGCAGAGCAGGCAGTGTTTTATCTGGCTGCTCCTCACCCTCTCCAGGGGAGAGCTCCAGAGCCAGGAGGAAAATGGCCCCCGGGGGAGGACAAAAGGTGTAGAGGGAAATTAATAATTGGAGTGCACTCAGTTTTACAGATAAGATTTGGGAGAATTGTGTTGATTTGGTGAAAAGTAGAAATATGGACGTACATAACTGTCTAGAATTAATGCTGTGATGATTCCAGAGGAGTAGGTAAAATATTGTCTGGGAGAGTACTTCGGAAAGGGCCAGAGACCTAGGTGTGTGAAAGCGCCGTCGTTTGATGATTTAGTATCAGGAGGGTGACAGGCAGGGGGCGCTCTTAGCAGAGGGGGTCGGGGAAGCTGTGACAAGCACGGCCTCAGCTCAGGGCTGGACGCGGTGAGGGGCAGAGGGCGGCACTGGAGGAGCTGAAGATCAGATGCTAGCGCGTGGCAAGTTTTATGGTTAAATAATTCATTACGCAGAGGTTACTCACGTGATTCGCTTTGGCAGCGGAGCCCGTGCTCGCCGGCCTTGCACAAGCAGCCCTCACCCTTCCCGGCCTTCCCCCTCCCACGCAGAGCTGGGACCGGCTGGTTTGTGTAACAGCTCGGGGTGCAGGGCAGAGGGAGCCGGGGACCTTGCCCCCGCCCTGACCTTGACCGCGAGCAGCTGTTCTCAGCCTTCTCCCTGGATCCCCCAGCTCTGGTCTACACTCCGGACTGCACTCGAATTCCGATTCCCTGTACAGGTTTGGCGTCATCCAGGGACCCTCGCCACA